TAGAATAATTAGGCTAATATCACTCTTAAATGATATCAAATCAGATCCCACTCCAAATCTTGCCATAAAGAAGAAAATTGGGAGGATCTCCAAGAAGCAGCCGTGATATGTGAAAATTTCCATAACTTTGTGCAATGAACATTCCTAAAATTGTGGTAGCAAGATGCCAATTTCCGATATGAATACAACCAAATATTTCAAGGTCATGCCATCAATTTAATTGGTGTTAAAAACCCCACCAACCCATTTTCGTATAACATCAAATTAGAGTACCCATTTGTAGTTAATGGTTCATAAGGGTGTTGGTCAAAATTGTGAGTTGAAGAAGACTTGGAATGTAGTGCCCTATTTATTAGAAATTTGTTGTTGCCAAAATTTCATGCATATTATATTATTAATTCATATACTTGTAGTCAACAAGAATGATCCAATACTTAAAAGACTTCTGACTCCACGATTCATATACATTGTAAATTCCAATTAACCACACTATACATTTATGAGGGCCTCTCTTTAATTAATCACTAGAAATGAAGGAATTTTATTTTGACAAGTTACATATTCTTAGCTTTATTAATATATTATGGTTTTAGCATTGAGTGGGGAATATTATATCAATCAATCACATAGTCAGCTTCCTTCAACTTCAAGTGTGAAATGGGTATGATTTACTAGTATTAAGACTTATTACTACTAATTAAATTGTGAAGAAGACATTTAAAAAATTTGGAAATTCAAGTTATTTAATTTAATTAAAAAGATTATCATTGATTAGAAAAGTTTAAGGATAGCAATGAGAGAATTAAGATAAGTATGAAAAGAATTTAAATGCATACTCCCACAAGTTACCATATATTGTTATCCAAACAGAGAATCCTAATCGAATATTAAGAAATTAATTTTATTTATTTATTTTAGGAATGTAATTAACATATTAAAAATCCAATTATTAATTTTGCTAATTGAGTTATTATCGGGAATCCTAATCACACCTCCACTCCTAAGAAGTCAAAAAGCATTAGGAGATATAAAAACCCTACTTCAATTAGGGTTTTTATTCATTTATTTTAGTATATAATTTAATTAATTAAAATTATATTCTGTGAATATTAATTAATGAAACCGCAATGAGAGGTAAAGAGCCTTAGAACGTGACTCACTCACTACTTCACTCTCTTCATCTTCTTCTTCTTCAATTCTTCCCTAGTTTGAGTTATTGATTTTCAGAATTTTATTTTTTATTATTTTTTTCAAAGAAAATCGAGCTAGGTTTCTTTTCTTCTTCCTAGTTAATTTCTTCTGAGCCAAGTAATATATATATACAAATAAAATAATAATAAAAAAAAAACCTGACTCTTTAGTGGGTCAGTAAAAAACTCTTTGTTTCTCGCTAGTTCTTAGGTTGTTTTGTTTGTTCACGTCACTGTCGTTGCATATACTTAAAACACACTGATCTCACTCATGGCTCAACCTCAAGAAACCCAAGATCATCAAGAAGTTGTTGAGATGAGTTTGAAAGATGAACCAGTTTCAGCTACGAACAAGGAGGAGGTTGCTGTTGCTGGAGATGATCTATCTTTGATGCTCAAGATCGTCAAGCCTGAGAATATGGAAGAAGATAAGATAGATTACGGTTTTGATTCTGCTCTTTTACCTAAAGATTTTCTTAGAACTTGTAGCGAGTGCGGTAAGCAGTTTAATTCCGGGAAGGCTTTGGGAGGTCACAAGCGAGCTTGTCTTAAGAAAAAGAATCAACCGAAGCTGACGATTGCCAAGAAAGTTGCGGCTCCTGTGAGGGTTGATCATCAAGAGGAGAGTGGCGGAGGATTGAATTGTTATGTGTGTCGACAGTCTTTCATATCTTTGAAGTCTTTGTATGGTCACATGAGGAAGCATCCCGAGAGAGAATGGAGAGGGATTCAACCTCCACAGCCAGCTAATGATAATGGTGATAACGAGAATGTCCACCGGAATATTGATCATCATGATGAGTCTTATGACGGCGCTGCTGGATCCGCTACGGACTTGGTGAAGTCTTTGAAGACCTGGACATTAAGGGCCAAAAGAGGGCACAGGTTATCATCTGAACCTCGTCTCTCTACTTCTGTTTCGGATGATGATGATGATGATGATGATGATGCTGAAGCCATGCAACAAGCTGTCAATGATCTCTTGCTGCTAGCTGAACATCGATCCAATAAGCAGCTTGGTTCTGGTTATGGCGTGTTGAAGATCAAGGAAGATGGAGTTAATAAAAAGACTGAAATTTTGAAGACTGTGTTGGAAGCTGAGCTTGGGAAGAAGAATAAGAGGTGTAATTCGGAGGAGACTTGGGTTGAGAACGATAATGAGGAGGACAGTGAGATGGAGTTGTCGAGGAAGACAAAACAGTTGAAGAAGAAGAAGAGGAGACTCACTGAATTTGATGATATGGATTGCGTGAATGAAGAGCCAATAACAGTAATGGCTCCTCAAACCTATTCTTGCCCAATATGTGAAAAGGTTTTCGGTAAACATCAAGCTCTAGGAGGCCACGTAGCAAGCCACAACAAGAACAAGAACAATATCATTGCGAAAGAATCGTCAACGTCCAATGCGGTCTCAGCTACTGAGGATGGGAATTGTAACAATAATGGTGTGGAGAATGAGCAGCAAACAAGTGGTGGTGACACTGAGCATCAATGCAACATATGCAGCAAGATATTCCAAACTGGTCAGGCACTTGGAGGACACAAAAGGTGCCACTGGACTGGCCCAGCTGAAGCATTTTCGAGCTCGAGTCAAGTGACAACATCAGCCGGTGAAGTGACTCAGACAACTCGCAATAGGCTAGTTCTTGATTTCGATCTTAACGATACACCACCTGAGTATTTTCAGATTTATGGCGGTGAAACAGAAGCTGCATAATTAGCTAGGTCTCAACACAAAATGAGAAATTTTGATCAGTCTGTGAAGGTTCTAGGTCAGTAGATTGATTGACTTTAAACTGGTTTCTTATAGTTTTATCGGTTGGTCTAGCTTTGAATCTTTCTTAGTTATGCTTTCTCTAGTGGGGTCCCTGAGACCTTGTCTTTTAGTGTTAAATTTTCTTCATGTAAAGCATGATAATCCAATTACATTTGGTTTTATGATTGACTATTCAAGAGCAACTTTACTTTTAACTTTGTCATACTATATTATAAATATGATTAAATTATTGGGATATGAGGTCAATTGTAACACCACTAAGCAGTGGAGGTGACAACATAGACAGAAGAGAGTGGCCTAGGATATCAAAAGTCAACAAGCATTCATCCACTTTTAAGAGCAACTTTTTTTGTTTTTCTTAAATATTTCATTGATGTTGCACAAAAACGTCCCTTGAGGGAAACATGTATGTAAGTCAATTGAAGCTTTCACTCGTTTGGAGGGTTTAATCATCTTGAAAGGGTCTTTATTTGATTAAGATGTAGGATTATAATCTTCCAAGTTTCTTATTATTTTATGTTGTGAAGAACAATTACATTGGAGACAATATTGTTTACAAGAAGTAGTTTCTTGTCAATGTTTAGTGGTTAGCTAGGTTATTCAATATTCTTAATACCCCACTTGATTTGAGACCAAGTCATTGTGGAAAAACTTGCAGGGTCAAAAGGGTATCTATTCAATTAATGCTTATTAACTTTGGTGTAGATTAAGCTTCTCATGGATGCTTCAAAGCACATTTTAAAACCAAAAATGAAGATGGTTTTGTATCTATGTGGTGCCGATACCTTTTGTGTTAGCTTATGAGAAAAAAGGAAGAGCTAACTCACCTGTTTTCTTGACAGATTCTCGTGACCAAATGAAAGCAACATCTCGCATACGAGATCATTGACTTTAATCACATTAACACCTTTCTCACGCCATGTTCTTAACTCTCCAAAATAGTACACTATTGTGATCATCTTTTAAATTTCTGTGTTAACTTGCTGCATTTAAAGACTTGTATAAGATATATCGTAACACGATGGCTTTCTTTATGGTCAATTGCTCTACTACTGTTTTCATCTGACCACGCTTAACATACTTAATTTCAATGTTTAGATAAAATCCAAATGCATTAATATTGTTGTGTTATTATACAATATTAAGAGTCAATGCTACAGATCTCTATTTATTATTATACTCTCGTGTTGTGATTTTCCTTGTGATACAGGCATAGTAAACTTTGTTTTCATTGAGTGCTCCATGACCATGAAAAGAGGCAGAGTTTGTTTCTGTTTTGATTATCAGTAAGGGTTTATGAAACACGAAGGCCTTCTTTTTCCAGAATAAGGATCAATAATTGAGATATCAGCCATGTGCACTTTCTGTGGTGTGAAGTGCTTGTGCATAATTGATGCCAAATATAACAGGCATTATTAAGCAGCACATGGTTTATGATCCAATTTTAGTCACCATTTTGATGGCTAAACCAGTGCCATAGGCACAAGCTATAGCATGCTCTTCTTTACAGGTTTCTGATTAATTGTTTTTATACGTTTGAACTGCAAAGCTTTTGGTTCAATTATGGACAGTGAATATGCAGATAAAAGTCAGTTAACAGTCATCTAAGATAAATGGGAAGTTGTTAGTTGATGACTTTTTGGCCAAAGTGATGCAACTTTGTGACCCCATATTTGCTTTTCCAAAGATCCCTATAATAGACTGAATGGAGTTTCCACCATCGAAAACAGAGCTAAATGATACATAGGCTTCAAATTTCAACTTTCAAGAGCACGTACAGGCACTTAATTTCAACTTTCAAAAACACAGTAATATATACACTTATCATCTGCTTATATACATGCAGAAGCCTGCAAATGGAGACCAATGCTTATTATATCTTTAAATCCGCATAACCATAGAACACTGACTATATATATTTGTACATTAAGTGAAAACTAAAAGAAACAATTAAAATCAATTAACTACAGAGGGAACATTTAAAAAAAAAATGGTAAAAATTACCGCACCTCCTTCCCTCAGCAATGCCCTCATGAAAAGGAACAAAACGGTTCTATATAACAACAATGAAATCTAATATTCAAATCTTGGCCTAAAATGTTGCAATTACACAAAAAGGACCCATCTCGAAGCTTAGGTGGGTACAACCACCCCAGGATGGGGTGACAACTCTGAGAGAAACAGCCAAAATACTAAGACCAGCAATATAAACTGTATGAGAAAACAAGAAGTAACCTTAAATATTCCCTTCTGCATCTTCAAAACTGCATCAGTCCCCAAAATATCTCCACAATGTTTTTCCAACTTTTCCGCTTGTTTCTTCAGTACTGCTGCCTTGCTTTCAGCTTCTCCAAGCTTGTTTAGCATCTGTGTTTGCTCCTCGACTAAAGTTTCTTGCTCTTCAAAGAGTGTAATGGGATCACCTGCAGCAATTTTCACCTTCTCTATAGTCCTTGTTAGTGCCAGATACTCAATTTCGGCCTCAATTTTTTGCCGAAAGAGACCTTCAAGTTCAGTCTCCATCTCTCTACATTTTTCTGGCTGCAAATCAATAGTGCTCCCTGACTCTTCCTTTAGTGGCTTGCTACTGTTTACAGTGGTTTCTAGTTCAGCAACCCTCGCATCTTTCACCTCCAGCATAGCCCTTGCCTCTTCCAGTTTTCTTTCTAAATATTCAACCTTCTGTGTTAAGCTTAATACCTGCATTTCGAACGAACTTGTAGCACTTTCTCTAATATTTTCAGAACCCAATTGAGCGGAAGAATTAGGTCCATGGATTTCTGGATCTGTAAAAGTGGAATCCGCAGGTTTGCTGCTACCCTTAAATGATTTGTTATGCAGTGATGTGGCATCCTTCCCAATCTCCCCAAACTTCTGAACCTCTGCATTAGTGTACATAGCACCATTTGAGTTGATAAATAATCGTATCCATGTTGACATTCATATAAAAATTTATGCAGAGAACAGACACAAGTAATTAAGCATAAAACAAGCCACAACTTAGATCTTCAGCCTTAAATTCTCCAGTTAGTTTCAGGAAATTAAACTTAAGCAAATCGACTACAAGATCAGCACATGTCACTTAAATTTAATACCCGGCTAACTGGCCATATTCGGTAAATTTAAGTGAAAAAGAATCTCCATGTTGAAATTTTATTTACTAAGGTTCCTTTTTAAGTTGATTTGGTCCTCTATAAATCCTCCTTACAACAAGAATATTAACAAATGAGACTACGTGAAATCAAATAATATATTGCTTATTGAGAAATTCCTTTTTGTGGTTATTATAGACACATGTTCTCGAATCCACATATTAAACCAAATAGATTCCCTTACATGGTTAACTTGACAATCAAGCAAAATAAAATTCCATATCTCTAAACCAATTGATATACATTTGGTTATTCTACCAAATCAAGCAAGATAAAATTCCGTATCTTGAGAGAAGATACAAAAAGGGCGAAAACTTAAACTATAGTTCGAATTTGACATTTCTACAAACAAAAAACGATGATTTCCATGTTTTCCTTTTCAACAAGAAGGTGAAAGTAATATTAATTTTCAGATCAATGAAATTCATAATTATATCTTCGCGGACAAAATAAAAACCGAATGAACTAAGATATTAGATAATAAGGAGACATCGTATGATTGAAAAGAAGCAAAAAACTAAAATAGTACATTCCGGAGATACACATGCAAATACCCATTATAACTACAGTTTATGAAAAAAAAAAAAAAAAAAAAAAGTGAAAGAAAGAAGGTACACCCACCTTTTTCAAGGGCTTCCTGCACAGACTGAAGGGTAAGGATAGACTCAACCAAGGGATCCTCATCTGTTGAGAGACGGCGGTTCTCACTTTTCTCTCCCTTAGCATCCCAAGACAAGTCTGCAGCTAAATCATCTTGCAAAAGATCTTCAGCTTCTCCGACATTCTCCTTGGTGAAACCAGTTTGAACTTCTTCACCTTGTTCATGAGCGTCATCACTATTTTCCCCATCATAATGCATTGACCTTCCACTCTGCTTTCCGTTACTAGTCACAGAAAAGGTACCCTGCATAAAGACAAAGTTTGAGCTTCTCGAGTCAGATTCCATGCTGGAATGAGAGTTTTCTTTCTCGATTTTGACCTTTTCTCCTCTAGGCTTCTTACTGCTTTCAGCCCAACTCTTTCCTTGTTGAACCCGTTGAGTAGAATTACTCACACCCTTTGTGCTCAAATTCTTCATCCATTTCTTCTCCCTTGCATAACCCGATATAGCAGGTGATTCATATCTCATCTTTGGAGCACTGGCTGCTGTAGAAGACTTGCTACTTCGGTCCTCACTGTTCTCAGAATCTGTACCAGCCATAAAAGCAGATCCAACCGCAAACCTAGAATCTAAACTAGAGCCACGTGTTGCAAAGGCATCAAGACTACCCACATTTTTCATCACAGTTACAGATCCAACAGAACCCTCACTATTCTGCCTGGCCTCTGCCGATGACATATGTACTGGTTTAGTTGGATTTCCAGAACCAGACAAACCCCGCTTCAAAACTTTACTACTATCCACGCTGGTTCCAGCATCCTTAACAACATCCCTCTTCTTTCGCCTCCATTTCCTAAGTCCATACCCTTTCGTCATTGGAGGTGAAACTCCAGCTGGGGATTTCATTGCCAATGAAGGTGAATCCCACGGTTGCACACTGTCAACATCCTTTTCATGGTTACCAACTAGCTCTATATTATTAGCATCATGACTTCCACTACCATCCAACTTGTTAATCTCATTTGAGCAAGATCCATTATTCTTAACAGAGTCATCATCAACACGAGATACAGTTCCTTGAGTTACCACAACCTCATTATCTTCTACAGATTCAAGAGCTGAACATTCACTCTCCAAATCCATGGCTAATATCCCTTGAATTCTTCAAAAGATCCAGTGAGATCAAGATCAAGAACATCAACTATCATTCCAGCAGTATCATGGTCCAAATTACCAAAATCTGAAAAAAAGATCAACCAAAGCAATCCACTGTTTCTTGAATCATCTATTTTTGATCAAATTCAATCCAATTCTACATAATTTGATTATATTCAACAGTTGAACGACAAAGCAACATAAAAGAACTCAAATTACTACAAAAATTTTTGAAAGGTTGAAAACATTAAATTCATTTAAATTAAAAAAAAAAAGTTTCAAACTTTATATTCAATTGAAATGAAAAAAATGAATTCTCACAAATAATACACAAAAGAAATGGGGCGTACCTTTTATATTGGTCCATGAAAAGCAAAAATCGAAGGAATTGGAAACCCTAAACTATGGTTGAAATTGGAGTTTTATAGCCATGAACTATTATTATGATTTAATTAGTTGAGAAAAAAGAAATAAAAAAAATCAAAGAATGAACGTGGGGTGATACAGGAATGGCCACATGGAGAAGATGGCCCACACACACACAATTGGGGATTGCTGGCCATCTGATCTAGGAAAAGAAACATCAATGTGACAAGATTGGCTTTTCGTGAAATGACAAGATTACCCCAATGAAATTGGACCTTGTTGTGAACTGAGTTGTGGCTTTGAATCAATGGGTCTGCCATAGAAAGAATCATCCTTAAACTCAGACAAAACATGACATCTTGTGATGTTCTTTTTCTTTTGTTGGTTTTGTGTAAAATTTCACATTAGTTTATTGTCATCCCCAAATCGCAATACCCTTTTAGTATTGAATGAGTCTTGATATTTGTATATATGTATTTGTATTTAATTACAAAGCGTTGGCCGTGCATTGCGCAAAATATTTATTTAATATTTTTGAAATAGATCGTAAACAAATTTATTTTAACAAAATAAATTAATTAGATTGAGAGATAATAATTATTAAATTATACAAATTTTAAAGTAAATATAAATTATATATATTTGTGTTAAGATAAAATTAATAATTGTACCTATATAATTATTAATATCAATTATAAGTAAATGTCATTAAATCATGTATCCAACTTGAGAAGATCACTTAAATATTATATGGTCTAATTATATTTTCAGGATCATCACTTTGCATAATTGATAGTATTTTTGCAAATATGTCTTTGATATTCGATGTCAGTATTTTGTAGTGAATCATGTATGATATTGAAGATCACCTAAATATTATCAAGTTCAACTATTTAAACTTAAAATTTATACTGGCCTTCTGCAATTTCTGTAACTTATATTCATTTTCAAGTTGCGTTGCGCGGATATGTTTATTATATATATATATATATTTTACATTATTATTGGTTTTTTTGTCTTTTAAATATATATTTTCTATATTGAAGTTTATTTTATATTGAATTAATAATTAAAAAATTAATAAATAAAATATCCACAAATTGAACTCAAAGTCTATATCATCATAGTTCTTCTCATATGAATAATGTTATGTGCACTAACAAAAAACCGTACAACTCAAGTACTAACTGACGTGGCAGACCTCTCTTATTGTCACGTCAGTTCTCCCCAAAAACTACAAAAAAAAAAAATTTCAAAATTTCAATTATTAGTACTTGCATTAGTATAATTTGGCTAGTGCACATAGCATTACTCTTCTCAAATATGTCACCATTTGATATCTGCAACCAAAGTCTAAAACTTTGTCAAGAAAAGCAAAAAAAATTTTAGGATAACCCACTGAGTATTGTTGATAAGTCTATAAATCAATTAAAGAAATAAAAACCTTATTGAAAAATGTGAACTTTAAAGCAATAGACTTCCATAGCCAAAGAAAAAAACTGATTTTGATTGTTGAGAAGAGAAAATGAATTACTTTTGTTATTATTATTTTAGAATTAAAAAAAAATTCAGAATGTTGAGAAGAGAACTCACATAGAAAGCAACAATAACTCCAATAATATAATCTGAAGGCAACTTAATTGAAGCATTAAAGAAGCCATGAAGATAAAGGTCCTGTGACACAAATCTATTTATTGCAATTAGAATTGACCACCACATATAGCAAAAAAAACATTTGATGATAGCATCCTAAAGAAAGACGATAATTGTAAAACCCACAAAACCCACAAATCAAACAACAAAATCAATCCAAAAATCAATAAAAAGAGATAGAACAAATACAATTAAAACTACATATCAATATTTGTCTTCCTTTGTCATCACTAAAATTGAATTTGTTTTATGTGTGTGATGATAAAAAAAATAGTTCGACAGCAGGTCTATAGTTATCCTAATTCATCGTATAATATATCAAATTAAAGTCTTATATTTCTAGTTTCCAAAGATTTAAACCACTCATCAATTGGATTTTTATTGTGCAAGTTAAAACTAATTTACTATTGACTGTTTAGTTGAAATTGAGAAACAGGGGAAACCGAAATGTGTGTCATGATAAAAGAAATGGTTCGGTAGTAGGGCTAAAGTTATCCAAATTAAGCGTATAATATATCAATTAAAGCTTTGTCTGTCTAGTTTCTAAAGATTCAAACCTCTCATCAATTGGATTTTTATTGAGTAAGTTATAGTCAATTTACTACTAACTGTTCAGTAGAAGTCAAAATGTGTGTAATGATAAAAGGAATGGTTTGAAAGTGGGGCTACGGTTATGCAAATTAAACGTATAATATATTAAATTAAAGAATTGTCTGTCTAGTTTCTAAATATTCAATCCTCTCGTCAATTGGATTTTTATTGAGAAAGTTATGATCAATTTACTACCGACTATTAAGTAGAAACCGAAAGGTATGTGATGATAAAAGGAATTATTCGATAGTGGGGCTACAGTTATCTAAATTAAGCATACAATATATCAAATTAAAACCCTTCTATCTAGTTTCTAAATATTCAAACTTCTCATCAATTGGAGTTTTATTAAGCAAATTATGGTCACTTTACTATTAATTGTTCAGTGGAAACCTAAATGTCTGTAATGATAAAATGAATGGTTTACTAAAGCTACATGGTTCAGCATCAAACATTGGTTGATATTTGTTAAATAAATGAAATTAGTTATATTCAGCAAAAACCTCTTTTCATGATATATGTATATAACATAAAAAGATATAGAACAATTACAATTAAAACTACATATCAATATTTGTTTTTCTTTAAAGATAATAATAATGGTTTGACATATTATAAAAGGTTTACTAAAGCTACATGGTTCGGCAACAAACATTAGATGATATTTATGATACAAATAAAATTTGTTATATTTAGCAACAACCTGTTTTTGATATATGTATGTAACATAAAAAAATATCAACAAAAAGAAATAGAACAAATACAATTAAATATGTATATCAATATTCGTTTTCCTTTGCCATCACTAAAATTGAATTGGTTTTATGTGTATGATGATAAAATAAATAGTTCGGCCGCAGGACTATAGTTATTCAAATTCATCGTATAATATATCAAATTAAAGTTCTGTCTTTCTAGTTTCCATAGATTCAAACCGCTTATCAATTGGATTTTTATTGAGCAAGTTATGACCAATTTACTATTAATTGTTTAATGGAAATCGAGAAACAGGGGAAACTAAAATGTGTGTGATGATAAAATGAATGGTTCGGAAGTGGGGCCACAGTTATCCAAATTAAGCATATACATATATAAAATTAAAGACATATCTGTCTAGTTTCTAAATATTCAAACCTCTCATCAATTGGAGTTTTATTGAACAAGTTATTGTCAATTTACTATTGACTGTTTAGTGGAAATTGAAATGTGTGTGATGATGAAAGGAATATTTCGGCAATGGGGCTACGGTTATCCAAATTAAGCGTATAAATACCAAATTAAATCCCTATATGTCTAGTTTCTAAATATTCAAACTCCTTATCAATTGGAGTTTTATTGAGCAGGTTATGGTTACTTTACTATTGACTGTTTAGTAGAAACTGAAATGTGTGTGATGATAAAAGGAATGATTCGGTCGTAGGTCTATAGTTAGCAAAATTAAGAGTATAATATATCAAGTTAAAGCCCTATCTGTCTAGTGTTCAAATATTTAAACCACTAATTAATTGGATTTTTATTGAATAAGTTATGGCCAATTTACTACTAATTGTTCAGTGGAAATCGAGAAACAGTAAAAACTGAAATGTGTGTGATGATAAAAGGAATGGTTCGAAAGTAGGGCTAAAGTTATCAAAATTAAGCATATAATATATGATTTAAAGCCTTATCTGTCTAGTTTCTAAAGATGTAAATCTCTCATCAATTGGATTTTTATTGAGCAAGTTATGGTCAATTTACTATTAACTATTCAGTGGAAACCAAAATGTGTATGATGATGAGAGGAACGGTTCGGCTGTGGGGCTACAGTTATCCAAATTAAGCGTATAATATATTAAATTAAAACAATGTCTGCCTAGTTTCTAAAGATTCAATCCTCCTATCAATTGGATTTTTATTGAGCAAGTTATGGTCAATTTACTATTGATTGTTCAGTGGAAATCGAAATACGTGTGATGATAAAATAAATAGTTTAGTTGACCAAATTTAAGGAATTATCATATTAGAACTGATAAGAAATATTTCAAATAACATCTATTACGTGGAAAATGGAATTAGCAAATATTTCAAATAACATCTATTAATTGGAAAACGGAATTAGCCAAAATTAGTTCATTGAACATATAAACTCGCATATCAGCAGGACATAAACAATTAATCATTCATATAAAAAATTAAAATACACGAATGTTTTTATAGAAAACATATTCAACACAAATAAACTGTTTCTACTAATATAGATTTGACACATACTCACAGTTTGGCTGACAATAGGATCATCCTCGATTTGATCTTAGTAAAGTATACGAACATTTCCTTGAAACAAACATAACAAAATTTAATCGATCTTTATGTTAAGATTGTTAAAGAACAATTATTCATTTGTATAACAATTGTTACCTGAAAATAAAATCAACAAAAGTTAATTAATCTTTATATTAAAATTGTTAAGGAATACACTTACCGTTCGGCAGGACTAACACAATTAATCATTCAAATAGATTAACCAAACAAAAACAATCATTCAACCAAATAATAACCGTTAAAATAGTTAGGAGATATACTTACAATTTCTTATTAAAATAGTTAGAAGATATACTTACAATTCAGAAGAACGAATCAAAATAACAACTCATTTGACAATGTCAATCGGACATCCTTCCTTTATTCAATGCCAATTCATGAATCTTTGACCTGTAAACAACAAAAACATAAATAAATAAAAAATCATAACAAAATTATGAATAACAGACGTATTATTCACACAAACTAATATGACCCATAAACAATTAACAAAAGATCAGACGTATTGTTGACACCAACTAACATATTGCGATAATACACAACTGAACATACACTCCTTTTATAAC